TGTGTAAATAATATAATAAGACCCAGGAAAAGACATTCAAGCCTTAATTTTTTAAAAATAAAATCTTGGGGCAGCCCAGTGGCGTGGTGGTTGGGTTCCCGCACTCCACATCAACTGCCTGGGGCTCGCAGATTCAGAACCCCGGGGCGGACCAGCACATCACTCATCACACAACACCTGTGGTGGTGTCCCACATATAAAATAGAGGAAGATTGGCAACAGATGTTAGCTCAGGGCCAATCTTCCTCACCAAAAATAAAAAATAAATAAAATCTCACGTCTCTTTCTAGTAGAATCCTGAACACTTGTGCAAACAGAGCTCCTTTTAGCTATCCTGAAGGGACAATCATCCCCAAAGTCAGAGAAATATTCTTCTTTGGACAATCTAGTCGTTCAAAAATGTGTATATGTGTGTGTTCCATAATCTTAAAAAGCTAATACTAAAAAGAAATAAATGGGGAGAGGAATGCTGAAGATAAGGAGTGTCAGCAGGTTAAAATATTCTCACTTTCTTCTCTTTCCCTTTTCTATTCCATCTTTCATTCAGCAGAAGTTCACACAGTGACACCTAGTGCAACCGGCATGGCTATGACAGCCTGGAAGAGTGAATGAGATAAGCCGTCTGGAAAACTCGTTTTCATAAGCTAATTCAGTAAGCTGAAAGGCTCGCCTTTCGTCTCAGACCCCAATGTGCGTGCATATCCTAATTATCATTTGAATCTATTTAAAAATGTATCATGCTTGTGGACAATAATTCCAGCTCAGTTCATTTCCTAACAGTTAGAAATGCTGGATCATTAATGTCCATAATGAAGTAGAACTGCAATTAAGGGACTCAGTAAAATAGCCCCCTCTTTCCAAAAGGCTTGACAAGATGAGCTGGGCAGTTTTTGAGCTACTCTTCCTAAGCATTTCTCTGGTGTTTCTCCCTTTAACACGTCATCTAGAAGACCTCCTTGCCTGGCTTACTCTGAGTTCTGTTACAAGAAATCCACCAGAGACCTGCAGAAACTGCACGCCACTTTTTGCAAAGCATCCTTCTTAAGATGATCTGGTCAAACAATCTCCAACTCAGATGACTTTCATAACAAATGGTTCAGAAATTCCTTCAGCTAAGGTTAGATGCTTCCTGACCTCAGCACTTCCCAAGTAGCCGTGTATGGTGCCTTACACAGAGTAAGTGCTCAATAAAGTTTTGCTAAATGGATTCTCTTTTGTTCTCTATCTACTAAGAGCTACTGCTTAATTTTTAATTTCTCCCTGT